TCCATTCGCCGACATGCCTCTTTTAAAGAGCGGCTTGGCATCAATACTAAGATTCAGGGTTTGGAAGGGATGGGCCGGAACCGGAAATCGATGCAGGATTTCGTCCACCAACAGTATCATATCATATTATATTATATTATATTATATTATATTATATTATATTATATTATATTATATTATATTATATTATAGTATATCATGTTATATTATATTATATTATATTATATTATATTATATTATATTATATTATATTATATTTTGTTATATTATATTATATTATATTATATTATATTGTATTATTAAAGAAAAAGCCGGCGGGCACCTGTATCGCCAACTCCCGGGTCGGGCAGATCGCCTCGTCACAGAGGCTAGGCCCAGACTCGGGGCTCGCAGTCGGCACGCGCGGACCACGCGTCTATGGCCAAGATCCTTTGTTTTGCATGTTCTACTCTCCGTGTTCGCATGTGCCCGCACGCACGCCTTGATTGACATGATGCCAAGTTTTTCAACCACACAAATCAAAATTAAGAGCATTGACTTGCTCCATGACTTTATTCGTTCATGCCGTCAGGCACTTACTCATTCACTCACTCAAGCATGCATCCATTTCGGAGTCTGCTTCGTAGGGCTTTAGTCCGCTTCGCAGGGCGTTGGCTTCAAGGCGGCTTGAAGCTACGAAGCGGATTCAAACGCAAGGCAAGCCTAGGCGTTGGGGAACAAAGCTAAAGTCACGAGCACCTGATTCCACCAAGTGCCAAGCGAGAGCCAGGGGACAGCCAGCCCGGTACGCCAAGCCGTAGTCCATGTTCCTCGCCTGCCGCAGCTCTTGGCCATCTGTAGCTGCCTACAAGGCCGTCGGCCAGAGAGCACCTGCGCCATTCCACGAATGATCTGCACCATCGGCAGCATGTACCTTGCAGACTATTCATAAGTAGGACAGAACTGCATGCAGGTCCAGCTGCAGCATCCCGTCACCTTAAAGACGTTATGGAAACCCTACAACTTCAAGCCAACAATCAGTGAGCTCTAAGCCCTAAACCGTAAAACTCCAAACCCACCACCGCTGAAACCCTTAAGCCCAACTGAATCTGCGAGCCCTTAAACCTCTAGCCTTGCACCCCGCCAGCCCCGCCTTAGACTCGAACTCAATCCCGAAACCCTTTAAACCCCAAACCTTCAACCCCTGAACCCCAAAATGCTCCCTCTCCCTTCCCACCCCCCCCCCCTGGGGCACGCAAGGCTCTTCCCCGATCCAGTCTCCGCAGCGATGACCTGACGTCTGAGTATCTGGGTAGTTCTCTACATTAAGGTGCCTTTCAGGATTATTTTTATATGGGTGCCGTACTATATTGGGGACCCAAAAAGGGACCCTAATGTAGAGAACGTCTGGCTCAGAAACAGCGAGAAACAGGCAGGTCTTCCGGATCAGCTAATCTGTAGCATAAGACAACGTACTGCCGTGAACACTCCATAGTATTGTGCGATATTGCTTTAACGAATCATGTGGGTCATCTTATCCTAATTTTAATCTTTTGTATGATAGTGTATTGTACAAAATGCTTGTATTATCTTTCCATATCTCATATGACGGCACGTTCTACTATGTTACATGACATCTGATTTGGCTTCACTGTAGCACCTCATACAACTGTACTGTAATCGATTTTTTGGTTATGACCTACAAGGCTTTTACTTCATTCCAGTACATTGTGTTGCATTCTGTTCTGCTATACTCCACTATCCTCTACTATAGCATAATACAGTATGTTAACGCTCTCAAATAGTCGATCATGTCATATTAATCTACATCGTCTTGTCTTGCCTTATCTTGTGTTGCATAAAGTTTTAGTATAACATGTTGCGTTGCATTGTACCATGTCGTACTACATCATACTATACTAAACTGTACTAAACTGTACTTTACTATACTGTACTGTACTGTACTACGATGTTTTTCTGTAATGCATGATAGTGATAGTGCATAACAATTAAGTATACTACAATACAAGCCAGAACATGAACATGCAAGAAAAAAAACAATGCAGCACGACACAGTGCATGTAACACACTCCAATTTTACATCACGTGATATGGGACAAGGTATGCTCTTGGACAATCTGGCTGTAGTACTATCATTCGACAGTAATCACCAGCAGCTCAGCCTGCAAGCGGGAGAACTGTCTAAGATTCGCACAATGTTGTCACCGTTCAGGATATAGGGGATGGCTTCTTGCTGGACCTGAGGCGTAAGCATGGGACTTCTTTCTGCGAAATGACATAAAGCACGTGTTGTCAGACGATGGCAGGGACATCGAAAAACGTCCCGCCCGACGCCACATGCCGAGGTGTATGTAATCAAGGCTAAGGAGTATAGTAATCTCACACCACACACACACACACACACACACGCGTTTGAAGAGACAAAAATCCCACGCTTTCTTTTGTCAGAAACCTAAACCCTAAACCCCTAAACCCCTAAACCCCTACACCCTAAACCCCTAAACCCCTAAACCCCTAAACCCATGCTGCCCGGTGGCAGGCGCTGGATTCAGCAGCGCTGGAGCTTCCGGGTTCTCACGGGGGTCAAGGCCTGTCCAGTTGAATCGGATCTAGTATGCCTTATACCAATATTAGTCATGATAGTAATGATAATAATAATAATAATAAGAATAAATCATAATAATAAGTATAATAATAATAATAATAATTCTGCATTATTATGCTGCGTTGTGCTAAGTCATACGTAGAATAGGTTATCTGATACAATATTATGTTATAAGTGACAGATCTCAGAAGCTAGATTTGTCAGGGACCTGTGCATCTGAACTCGAGTTTGGATCTCAAGCAGAGCCGGAGAGCCAACAGTTTCTGAGGCTATTCCGGACTGTGGGGTCTTACAAGTTAGAAGGGACTGCTAGGATCGCACGGTGTAAAAGTTTAAGAAGGCCATAAAAGTTATAAGCACAAGCTCTTATAACGGATTGAGGGTGTGGAGCTTAGGGATCAAGGTTTGGAGTTTAAGCTGAGGCTGAGAGCTCGCGAGTTGGCTTTAAGCTTTGGGTTCCGTGGGGTTGACGGTTTGGGTGCACGGGACACGCTTTGTTAGGTTTTGAGGGTTTTGCAGGTTTGGCTATGAGAGTTCAGGGTAGGGCTTGGAAGCAGGAATGGATGTGGGGGTTCTTGGATTTCGGTCGGCTTAGGCGGTTCAGGGGTTTAGGGATTTTGAGCTTCGTTTTGGCCTTGTGCTTCCGGAGTCCAAGGCTTGGGCGCTTTAAAGCTGAAGGGTTAATGTAGGGGCCTTAAAAATTAGAATAGGTTGTGGAGCCCATTATACTATACTTATGATAAGGAACCCCCAAAACAATATAGGTAACTATTAAGGCCCCGAGATAAGCTTCGGAGACCGAACCGGCTGAGCTGGCGACCGAGCGAGTTCGCAGCTCCTTCGATAACCTTCCAAGAGCAGTGATCCGCCCTCCTACCTTACTCCCTGACTTGGGTCAGCTGCCCCGCGAGAGCTAGCATCATGCGCATCAGGAGGCCCCAAAACCCAAAACCCCTAAACCCCTAAACCCCTAAACCCCTAAACCCTAAACCCAACACCCTAAAAACCCTAAAAACCTTCAATCCCAAAACCCGAAAACCCTTCTTGGAATTGTCACAACAGGAACCGAGGCCCTTGGTGCCTCGGGCTTCAGTCCGAGCTCTGCGAAGGTCCTCGGGAGCCGGGGAGGAAGCCACTGCAGGGAGACGACAGGTTTAGGGTTCAGGGGTTTAGGGTTCAGGGGTTTAGGGTTTAGGGTTTCTTGTTTTGAAGCACCTTTTCCGCCAGGGTTTAGGGTTCCGGGTTTAGGGCTTAGGGTTTAGTGGCTTGCAAGGCTTAGGGGCCGCAGGTACAGCCCTTAACTACTTCCGACGGGGGGGGCGCAGGATGTTCAGCTACAGGGGCCGAGGTTCAGGAAAGCACGGCCAAGATCCCGGCCCGGCCATGGGAAAGACCAGGTCTTTCGCTCGCTTCCTTCCCCTTGGAATCCCAGCGCAGCTGTCGATGTGTGACGTGTATGCAGACTTGTCCGAAGGTGCTCATGCACAGCACGAGGACTTTGGTCGCAGTATGACGCAGTCATAGATGCTGCAACCCTTACGAAAGTACTGCACATTTCGTTCCTAATACTTACATCTTATCATCCTGGTCGTAATTCGTCGTCCTATCCACACTATGCAGTGGTAGAAGATAACGACTAAATCTGCACTGGGATGGTTCACTGTATGTCCATTATTGCTGTAATTACTGTATACTTTCCTGTGACATATGCAGCGTCAGAAGGACGAGTAGGAGGAGGAGGAGGAGGAGGAGGAGGAGGCCTGCTACTGCTACGACGAACAAGCATGACACTACGAAGAAAAGCATCATATTCTGATGCCTGTGGCGAGATTACAGGCATGGGCAAAATGGAAGTGGCCTCCAGGTGCCGGCGAGATTGAACTCGACGTCTGCCTCCATGGGCACCTTTGTCGCATGCTTGCCTTACTTCTGCACAGAAAACAAGAAACGAATGCACCTTGCCACCCTTCGACGCGAGGTAGTCTTTCGGAACGTCGCTCGCCCGAAAGATGATTTTCTGGCACAGCAAACACTACATGAAGGCTGGGCCGTGGTCCATCCTACCCATCGCCTCGGGCGGCGAGCCGCAGAGCAGGTAACCGAAACCCCGGTGCGGCAGCCAGTCGCACACCTGGGGGCTTGCACGCGCGGAGGCGGAATGAGCTGGCTGAGTCTCCTTGACCTCCGGAGTGAAAGGCTCCGGTCTCTCTCTCTCAACATCCGGCCTTTCCGACGCCCCGCTTCTCGTCGAAGTAAGGCCTACCAAAGCGCCTTCGAAGAGAACAATGACGTCCACGAGCCATCACTTCGGCACGACCGGCACTGCAAGGAATCCCTAAGTCGAGCCTTTCCATCTCCAGGCCCTCTTGAAGGACGGTGGCCTGGAGGCTTGGTCCAGGTGTGCGGCATCCCTCCGACGCCCAGTGCTGGCTGCAGGCCTCCATCGGACGGTTCTTCCATTCCTCGACCTCCTCCATGACCTAACACTTCCGTGAGCAGCTGCGACAAGATCCGATTGTAAACATGTAACTGCGTTGCTACTTTGGTGTGTGCATGTGTAAATTCAACACCTCAGCACGGCACGGTTAAAGCCCGACTGCCCTTCGCACGACAGGGTGTGCGAGAGCCTTGCAGGGCCAGCATGCCATTACCCCTTCAGCTGCCTGCCGCTCAAATGAGCAGCTGGAGACATTAAACTTCTGAGAATTCCTAGTCTTTCATGGTTGAACGCATGGCCGCCACCTTGCAGGTCTTCCATGAATCCGGCAGCAACCCTACTCCCGCTTCCTATATTGTCAGAAAGTCCAGCCTCGTGCCGGGCCCGTTCGATGACCTGAAGAGTGTGAACAAAGCACGGAAGACGCGCCGGCATCGTCTTCACCCGGCGCGGCCTCTCACAGCCCTGCATGCGAAAGCCACGGCCTCAGAAAGCCAGAAAGCCCAAGGCTGAACCCACGTGTGCCCCAGCACAGCAAAACCTCGAGGGCCACACCAAAATCACGGTCGCACATGGTGCAGCCGTCCTTGCAGCCTCAGCAGATCAGCAGATGCCATGCTTGGTCTGCATGGTTTTCCTGGGGCTCCCAACCTGCGCCTGCTGCCTACAAAGCGGCTGCCCGAGATTCCTCGCAGGGTTGAGGCTTAGGTTTGAGGGAAGCAGGAGTGTTCTTCCACAGGCGGGGGTCTAGCATGCGAATACGATTCAGTCTGCTCGTCCAAGCTAGCATATGGAAAATCATCTCCAGATAAATCAAAGGCGTCCAAGCGAAGAAGCCCAGAACTGCGTGAAGCCTTGCCGGAATATGGTCTGCAGCCCGCGCAGGCACACTAGCTGCCGACGGGGCCAGCAGGATAGTCGCCATCCCTATGCAAAGGATGTGTTGAAATGTGGTTGAACTGTTGGCACATTCATGATGTTCTGTCCAACCCAGCAACCATAGAGTCCATAGAGTACGCACAATCTTTCGAGTCGAAGCTTCCAGCTTCCCCATCATGTTAGTCCTATTGTTGTCGTTGCTGTTCGTCTTGTCGTGGCTGGTGTGGTTGTTTGTTCTTGGCTACGAGCTTGGTGTCGTCATGGCGACAATTCCTGTCACACATCATTGGGCTGGACCTAAACGGGATGAAGAATGACAGTGCTGCTCCACCTCTGCTCACATATCCCATGTCGCAAGCTGCAAGCCACAACGCACTGCGAATTGATGGGAGCTGCATCCAGGCTGCATCCGGCGGATTTCTAGTAAAGGTCAACAGCTTGCAGCTTGAGCAGAGAAGAACGGCACATGTGCTGTCCGCTACGTTCACACACTCGTATGGCGGTTCTTGGTACGGCTGTTGCTAATTCTGCTATGGCTGAAGCGGCTGTTCTTGCTGATGCTGGAGCTGACGTTTAGGGTTTAGGGTTTAGGGTTTAAGGTTTTAAGGTTTAGGGTTGGGTTACCCCAAACCCTATTTTAAAAAAACCAGGCCAAAGCCAGGTGCTCAAAAGCAGAGCAACCCCCGGAGAAGCCGCTTGCATGGCGGCCGTGGGGATGTTGGTGACTACTCTGCACGGATAACCTCTAAGCACTGCAAGCAACATCTGACTTGCGGGGACCAGTCTTGCGTCTCGTCACATCACACACTCAGGCATGCTCAACACAAACATGAACATCGTCACCGTGGATCAGCGGTGTCTGTCTGGAAAGCCGGAAATGAAACCTGCATCTCACCTCGAAGCCAAGGCTCATAGACAGATGCCCCGAGTCAAAAAGCTCGTTGTACCTGGCCACAGGCGGCTGGCCACACACCAATGCCAGCCGTTGCCGATGAGGCGATGGCGGGTCTTCTCGTCCACCCCTCCCGAGGCGGTGTAGCTTACGGGAATGCCGTGGAGCTGCTCCTTGATCTCCGGGGTCGGGAGGTGGAGAACGCCCCGGTCATCCTGTGGCATCGCCTCTGGCGGAATAGGCCGTGTGCAGCCCTCTTACAATTACGGGCAACATCTGCGGGTGTGGCTTTGCCCTGTTCACCTGATGTCGCATGCCCTCACGCCCTGAGGCGATGGCAACATGCACACCTCGATGGCAATGTGGTTCTGGTCGTCGGGAAAGGGCGACATAGCCGAGACAAACAAAGCAAAAGTATGCCAGAGCCTGCTGAAAGAAGGCTACCATCAAGTAGCCATCTAAAAGCAGCCCCAGCCTAGAGGCGTGAGCCGAGCGGGACTGTGGAAGATTCCGTCGTCTCCCCAGTGCTTAAACACGATCCAGCAGGCATCCGAAATCACAACCCCGAGCTACCTGCCACTTCCAGGCTGCTTTTGTCAATATATTTGTCTCTGCTTCTCAAGGTCACCGCACGCCCACGGTCGCGAGGCCTGGAGGGTTCCGCTTTGATGAATGAAAGCCCGCTCAACACCGTCTGGGATTGTCTTCTGCTCAAGGTGATCAAACTCTGCAGATGCTGCACGTTGTCCAGCAGGACGTTACAGACTCTCAAAAGCATAAAACGCTGGAAACTCATTACGGATCGTAACAATATATTTCCCTATTAGAGTTATTAGAGCAGAAAGCACGCGGCTTGACATGCACCCAGGTCCCCGGCCAAAGACCATAAGGATGAATGCCCGGTGGTTGAAGAGGCCTGGGTCCTCAGTCATTCAACATTTTCTGGCCCTGGCGTGCGTAGAGGGCATGCACTTGTCGCGCGAAATCTCAGGCACCCTGCCAATCACGTTGTTAATCCACCGTCCTGGCGCGAACGGAGTGACAGGACTGCGACGGCACACAAAGAAGCAGGACTAGCCACCACACGGACTGCCGCACCGCCAGAATTTTGCTCTATGTCCTATCGCACACCCATGCGCCTGCAGACCAAAATAAACAAACGCAGAGAAGTGGAAGGAAGGGATAGGAAGGCAAGACATCGGCAGGGTCGAGAGTGCGGGGAGACAGTAAACGCGGCCGACAATTCCTGCATTCTGCGCTGCCCGCAAATTCCTCTTGCCTGGCATACACCCACGACCTCAGCCAAAGCTGAAGTTTTCGGATTACGGTCCTCTGACGCAATAAAAACGCGAGAAGGAAGGCCGCGGGCTTATGGGACCGCGCTGGTCCCGTGGTACCCTTCAAGCAGGTAGACTTCGAAGGCTGTCAAATGGACAACATCCGATAGGCGCCTCCTCCTTGACCTGCCCCGGGTCTGCGCTGGCTGCGTACCTAGCACGCATGCATGGCTTGACAGGCCTACGTGTCCGCCAAGAACCATGGTCCTTCAATTGGGGCACCACATGCAACCAAAAGTGGTGGCAACCAGAGCTCTGCAGGATCCGAAAACCGGAACCTGGCACAGCGTGGACCACGACATGCGGCGATGCGAGGGAAGACATGCGGGACATGTGACACGCAAGAGTGTGATGCCATGGTGCCCAGGACCTGCGGGAGATGCAGCATATCGCAGGAAGGCGCAGCCTTGAACAGAGGCTTGCCGGCAAAGTATCGCATGGCTTTGCAGTCGAGGCCGGAGCTGGAAGGAGCGGGGGCGGAAGGACGGGGTCAGCCGAATATGCCTTTGCAAGACCCCGGCCGTGGACCCCGTGAAGACCTGGAAGCCAAGGACGGGACTTGACAAGAGGCGGCACGCGGTACAGAGCCACGAGAAGCGTCCTGGTGAAACGCAGGTCACAAATGCTCGTAGATGCTCACAGCTCCCAAGCTCCAAGTTGCATCTAGGGCACAGGTGCGCAAGCGGATGCATGGCCAGCCAAGGACTCTCCTCATCACGGAAAGGAATGCAACTTGCATGGGACCAGTGTAGCGCCGTTTCGTGCCCAAGCCTGCCGTAAGGCAATGCGCGCAGGCTGCGCGGCCCGGCGAGCGCAGGCAAGGCAATGAAACGCTTGGAAAATTATCTTTAGCCAAAGCCTTTGCAACTTTTCCAAACCCCTTCTGATATGATCAGTGCTGTAACGCGGCTGCGGTAAAGCACTATATCCGAGCGCCTCCATACAGGCTAATGAATTGACACTCATACAACTGCGTCACGACACTCAATCTGCACCCGGCTTACAAGTTGATCCAGAGTCTTGAGACAAGCGCAGCAGTACTGATGGTTGGTTGCCTGGACAATCTTTCAGTCGTATGCCCGCGCACCTCTCCCTGATTTTGGAATTGCCAGCATTACAGGTAGAAGCCACAGAAAATCATCTGAGCTGAGATCTGATGGTTTGTCGACTGGACACCAAGCCTACAAACAATCTCAAGCCTCGGGTGCAGGACAAGAACAACCCAACCCGGTGAACACAAAACCGGAGTGACAACTCATGTCGAGTACCTTACAGAGGTCATCTACATATTCCTCGTTTCTTCTCGTACACAGATGCCGTGAGTAAGCAATCACATTGCCCCAGACACCTTTCGAATCTCGAACAGGATTTCACACGACCGGACTCCTGTGTGAACAACTTGTGAAAATCTGTCTGAAGCCGAGACCCCTGAGTTTCACAACATTCATGCGCGCGTGCAAACCTGGAATCCATGCTGGTGTAGCACTGCAGCCTTCCCGGCCGAAAACTTCCTTAAGAATCCGATGCTTGCACCTGCGGGACTATTGCCCGAAGTTTCTTACACTGCTCTGCTGGGCTGAAAGCAAGACTTGCTTGTCGTGTGGCAATGGAGCATGCGCATCTCAGGCTGCATGATATAGGAATGTTCTGGACATCACGGCTCGTCATTCACCATGCGAAACCTCGATCGCTTTGCAAAACTTCCTGCATATCTAGATGAGATGCCATTTACTGAAACTTACTGTTGAATGGAGGTGACGTCAAACAGCAACTGACAAGAAGTCGATTTCGACTCAACGGCAGTTCTCCGACACACCTGTGTGTTCTTCCCCGCCACGGAACAGGAGCAAATTCAGCTTCCCCTGGAAGTGTCTTCATCACTAAAATGTGGTGGTGAACAATGTGGTGCTCTGCAGCCACTGACAAGCGGACGAAAGTTGTTCCAAATGAGCGATGCGAGTGATTGGACGAACTGTCAGCGCATGCTCGGTGCGGCTGTACTGTTCCAAATGTTCAAGTCAAACCAAACTGGTAAAGCTGGATTGGAAGGCATGGGTAAACCCCGGAACAAACTCGGCTCCTGAACCTGGGCACGGGATCCGAGAGAACACCTCGCTGGCTACAAGTCGGAAAAAATTGACACTCATAGATGTGCATCATAAACGCGGACTGCAGGGAGCTCAAGTTGAACCAGAATCTTGAGGCAATCGCAGAGGTGCTCGCCATGATGTGTTAACTCGGGGTTGCCTTCAAGTTGTGCTGGTACTGGAACCGAAGGTAGCGATTGTTTGTGGGTTTGGTGTCCACTCGACAGACAATCAGATCTCAGAAGCTCAACAGACTGTGGCTTTACTTGATGCCAAGCTGGGACGCGCGAAACAGCTCACGGATGCTGTACGCAAACTCGTTTGCGAAACGATACCCCAGAAATCGAAAATAACGAGGGTGACTGCTAGCCAAGCTTTAGCTTCACGCAATGCCATAATTAGTTGCGTGTGTTGCCTCAGGGCTGCTTCGGATATCTTCTCAAGAATGGCCACTGAATCGGTATGTCTCAGTGCTCATGCTGCCGGGCGCTTCAAACAGGCGGATCTGGAGTCATGAACTCAGCCCAGCAGGCAGAAGAGACGGAAGACGGACAAGCTTCCGCCATCAAAACCCAGTCGAGAATAGAGGAAATCATATCTGCAGAAGCTCGAGGGCTGAAGCAAACGGATAGATGGGCAATACCATGTGATGAACTGCATTTCATCGATGTCAGCGCTGGCAGCCCGGAAGAAATCATGTGGCACAACGACCTAAAGCATTCCGTCACTTGAAGTTTCCGAGAAGAAGCATCGGAGCTCGTTTCGACGGAGACACAGACACTTGATGGCGGCCAGACAGTTTTGTCGAAGAAACGAGCTGCGTGTTCAAGTAAGTCTCTCCTCAGTGGACTCCGCCGCATAAAATTTACCGCTGCAAGCATGGCATGCTCCCTCCGGATGTTCGCCCCACTAGTTGTTTCCAGTCGTGTGTATGTATCACGGATTCCCATCGGTAACCATGAGCCCACTTCGATAATGCAGGACTCGGTCCGATCGCCTTCCGTCGACTCGGTTTAAGGTTTAGGGTTTAGGGTTTAGGGTTTGTGCATGTCGAGCTTGTGGCTGACGTTTCGAAACAAAGACAAAGAGAATCTGGAACGAGGGCTCACTCACCTGCTGTCGCGACATGTGCCTCTTGCCATGATCCTGAACAAAATTCGTAAAGGCCTGCGATAGGCCATCGATCGATATCTGAGCATTTCTTTTTGCGACGGGCCGCAGAGCACAAATATGAGCAACAGCAGCCAGCGTTTGGCAGCTTCTGTTTAGCTTTTCTATAAAGCTGGGATGCCAACACATCTCAGCAAAGCCCGGGAGTACCGACACGGCCCCTCTGCACTTCTGTCTGAGCATCAAACCGAAAGCCGAACATGTCTCTACCACTTCTCTACCACGAGATTCGCACGATTCTCCCCAAAGTATGTGTGGGAACTCCCTGCACCGTTGACCAAAGCTGCCAGGCACTACGGACCTGGTCCTCCATAGCGGACTGCGCCAAGTACTAACGTTGCATGTATCATCATAGACGGGAACAGTTTGCAAACAGTTGGAAGCCAGCCTAAGTCCAGCGACTTCAAGGGTCTTCGGCCTCAGGAAGCCCTGGAACAGGCAATCGAATGCAACAGAAGTGCACACAAACACAAACATTCACACAGCCTCCCCGTCACATTCTTGTACCGAGACAGTAACGACCGGAACTCGAAGTTTCCCTTCTCATCGTCGTGTTGGCGCACCGACAGAGACTCTTCGGCAAGATTGAGTTGAGATTGTGCCCTAATCCAGACACTGTCTGTCAAGCCTCTCTTGAGCCCCTTGAGGGGTGCCAGCTCTCGTTCGGCTCTATCCACAGAATCTTGGAGGAGGAGGTAGAACTGAGCAAACTTCTCATCAAGATCTTTATCAATTGCCTGGCGAAGCTCCTCTAGTTGTGGCAGGTCTTCCAGGACTCGCGTGAACTTCAATTCCACCCAACATTGCAGTTTTCGAAGCACGATGTCTTTGTCCTCGTACGTGCCGCTTTGGAGCTTTCCCTCTATCTCAGCCCGAGCCTGCTCCAGGAGTGTGCAAGCGAGCGCCTCCGTCTCGGCAAAGAAACCATCGAGCTGAGAGGTGTCGGACAAGTATGGTCTCACTGCAGCTGTCACGCAACGAAGGTTATGAATCTCGCGGGCAGGTAGTCGCAATAGCTCCATGTCCGGCTGGATATCCTTGAGCTGCCCGATTGCCCATGTCCGCGAAGCGCTGAAAATAGCTTTATCGAACGATTCGATCACCTGCAAGCCATGTCTCGCAATCTGCAGGCGCTGCTTGGACTGCATGGGCTAAAACTGCAAGCACAAAATTGAGGCCGTGGCAGGCTGCGAAGAACGGAAGCACTTGCTGACTTGCTGGATTTGGATCCAAAGCTCCACGTTGCCGCAAGGAGCTGTGTGCATGGTCGCTTGCTGGAGGAAGTCCTGTATCATCGATTTCGTTGAGCTTGCCTGACGCTCAAGGAATTCCGTCAAGCCCTCCTCCAACTCGAGCAAGTAGTTCGCAATGGACTGATCAATGGAATCAAAGCTAAAGGCGTCCAGCCAACGTAGATCCTGGAAGGCAGTCAGCAAGGAGATGCTATCCTCAGGCCTGCAGTAGTCTCCAGCATACAGGTTCTTGAAGAATGCCTGTAATTCCTTACGGCAACAGTTGGCGGAATGACAAACCGCGTGTTG